CGCTTTAACTCCTTTTACCACCAGGGATGGCCTGGAATGCACATTTCAGTCCTAAGAGGCATCAATGTGTGGCTGCCATCTCTTCTGCAATCCTTTGTTGCGGGGTTTATGATCCTCATGTGAACCAGGGTGAAAAGCTGGTGGAACAGATAAGCTGCGGAAATCAGACTCTTTGGGGTAGAAGTGGCAGAAACCCAAGATAAGTGGTTTAGGCAGAAAAAAAAGCAGCTCACTGGCTCATCGATCCAGATGGGTGGCCCCAGTAAACATGCTCATTTTATCTTTCACTTTTGATTTCTTTGTGTGTCCACTTTATTTTCTCGGTGTGCCTAATTCCACATGTCTGCAACTATGCTGCTCCTGGCTGATATCTATGCACTCTCCTGACAAAGAGCCAAATGTCCTTGGAAGGCTCAGAGGGGCCCTCATTGGTGCCAGGAGGTGAGTAACCTGCTTGCCTCTGGGGCTTCTCATCCTCAACAAGATGTCCACACTGAAGGAGATGAAATCTTGTGAAATGGTACTTCTTATACAGACAACAGGAGTAAGGGACATCGAGAGGTCTCGGAGCAGAGTCTCTTAGAAAAGACAACAGTGCTAGTTCCAGAAGACTGGAGACTAGCTAACTAGGGAACAGCAGCAGTCCTCTGAAAAGCAAGCATTTGAAGCCAAGTCCTCTGATTCTAGAGCTTGTGTGTTTAACCACCATAATATACATGTTACCTTGAAACAACAAGAAAAAGGAATGGCCCCATTTCCTCGACCTGTATAACAGTAATTATTATTGCATGCATAGTTTCTATAGAGAGACCTATTCCAGGTCATATACATTATCTATCTGTCTATTTGCATTTTAAATTAATAGATTTAAACATTGCATTATTTTGCATTAGGTACCATTGGTTCACACATTACATTACCACACCACATTCACCACCAAGACACCTGACCCATCTGCTGCTCCCCTCAGCAGTGTACTTCATCAGTCGGCCTGTTCTGCTCCCCACTCTGTCTCTGATGAATCCTCTCACCGCCCCTGCACCTCTGGCCTGTACCCCAGCTCTGTATGCATAAATAAAAAATATTTAAAAAATAATAAACAAATAGCACTTCAGTGAACATAGGGGTGCCTGTACCCCTTTGAATGAGTGCCTTTGCATCCTTTGGGTAGGTATTTGGAGTGGAGTTCCTGCATCGTATGGCAGATCCTCTTTTCCTTTTTTCACTATTTTAAGAAAACTCTCTTTTATTTCCCATAGGATGAACCAATCTATAGTTCCACCAACAATGTGCAAGAGTTCCTTTTTCCCACATCTTCACCAACACTACTGATTCGGATCTTTTGGATTTGGGCCATTCTCTCATTGTGGCTGTGTTTGCATTTTCCTGGTAATAAATGGTGATGAATATTTTTTTATGTGCAGCTGCCCATCTGTATGTCTTTTTGGAGAAAAAATAGATTTTAAAAATAGTAGTTTCCAGCCTATGAAAAAAGTTGAGGGAAAATACAGAGAGTTTCCATATACTCACTTTCTCCCACCCAGTGTCCTATATCACTAATCTTTTCAACTGGTGTGACACATTTGTTATGATTGATGAGGTACTATTTATATGCTATTATAAGCTAAATTCCAGTTGCTATTAAAGCTCACTCTCTGTGCTGTATATTCTATGGGTTTTAACAAATGTATAATGACATGAATCCACTTTTATAATAAGATTCTTTATAATATAATTAAACTATCTTATTGTATATGCTCCATTTATTTCTTCTCCCTCGCCCTCTCCAAATTCTTGACAACCACTGATCTTCTTACAGTTTATATTTTTAATTAGCTTTTATTGTCTCTGAATCTTTGCTTTTACCAGGCAAATCATACAGTATGTTGCTTTTTCTAATTGGCTTCTTTCATTTAGCAGTATATACTTAATATTCCTCGAAATTGTTTCATGGCTTGATGGCTCATTTCTTTTTATGGATAAATAATATTCCACTGTATGACCGACTCTACCACCACTTTTTATCCATTTTTCTATTGAAGGATTTCTTGGTTGTGTCCAAGTTTTGGCAGTAATGGATTAAGCTGCTATAAATGGTCACATGCAGTTTTGGGGGACATAACTCCTTTGCATAAATACCAAGATTTGAGATTGTTTATTTAGAGGGAAAAATAACATCTAGTTTTGTAAGAAATTGCCAAAGAGATTTTCAGAGTGACTATACAAATTTACATTTCTATCAGCAATGGCTGAGCAATTCCTATTGCTCCACATCTTGACAGCACTTTGGTGATGTTGATGCTTTTAATTTTAGCTATTTAGGGCCCTCCCTGGTGGTGCAATGGGTTAGGATGCAGAAACTGCAAGCTAACCGCCCTGGCCCCGGAGATGACCCACATGGTGGGCCAGACCTCTCCTGACTGGCCCCTGCTCCCCTCAGCAGTGTATGTCGACGATCTGCCTGTTCCGCTCCCCACTCTGTCTCTGGTGAATCCTCTCACTGCCCCTGCACTTCTGGCTTGTATCCCTGTTCTGTATGCATAAATAAATAAATCTTAAAAAAAATTGTTTTATCTATTTAGTGGTGGATAGTGGTATCTATTATTGCTTGTTTGGTTTTTTAATTTACATTTCCCTAATGCCATGTACCACTAAGTGCTTTATGTTCATCCTTTAATCTTCTTTGATGAAGTATCACTTCAGATTTTTTTTTACACTTTTATGGGTCGTTCATTTTCATATCAATAAGTTTTAAAACTTTTTTGTATATTCTAGGTACCAATACTTTTTTATGTATGTATTTTGCAAAGATTTCCTCCTAGTCTGTGGCTTGTAACTTCACTTGACTGCAGCCTTTTTTAGAGCAGAAGTTTTTAATTTTAGTGAAGTCCGACTTACCAATTTTTTCTTTTGTGGATCATGTTTTTGGCTCTGTATTTTAAAAAAAACCTTAGATTTTTCTCCTATGTTGTCTTCTAGGAGTCTTATCATTTTCCTTTTACACATAGGTCCATGATTCATCTTTCAGTTGATTTTTGTGAAAGGAGTACAGTGTATCTTTTTCTTCTCTCTCTTTTTTTTTTTTTTAAGATTTATTAATTTACACATGCAGAATTGGGGTACAGGGCGGAGGAGCAGGGGCAGTGAGAGGATTCACCAGAGACAGAGTGGGGAGCAGTACAGGCAGATTGACAAAGTACACTGCTGAGGGGAGCAGCGGGTGAGACAGGAGAGGTCTGCCATGCAATGTGAGTCACCTACCTGGCCCCATCAAACTCATGTTGAAGCTGCTGCCACCAGCTTGGTAGTGCTGTGCTTTAACCCATTGCACCACTAGGGAGCGCCTGGTTTTGAATCATCTATGGCTGTCAAATTGTTTTAGCACCACTTGTCCAAGGGACTATCTTCTCTCCACTGAGTTGCTTTTGTTGCTTTGTCAAAGATCAGTTGACTATATTGTGTAGGTCCATTTCTGGGATCTCTGGTGTGTTTTATCTTTCTATATATATCACCACCCTCTCTCCAGCCCCCAGCTTTATTGAATGCACATTTTCATTATCATCCAGAAATTTGTACTTATCTAGTAGGTACTAAAATCCTTATTTTGAAGATCAGGAAATTGAGTCTCAGAGAAGAGAAACAATTTGTGCAGGCCAGCAACTAACATGAACTGGAGTTAAAGTTCAAAACCACATGTATATGATTGATTCAGTTACTCTGTGTCGTTATGCTGCCTATTGGTGCTAGGCTGGAACTTAAGCTCCCGTGGGCCAAAATCCCAGCTTCTCCTTTTCCTCCTAGACCTTGGATTCTTGGCTCAATTGTTCTTTGATTCTGCCTGTCTCTTATAGTTCCACACATGAATTCTAATCTGCCTGAAGTTTAGCTTTATTCAAGCACTCAGCCAGTTTTTTTCTTAACATTTTACTGAGAATTTGGGCATAATTATCCTCTGTGCTCTCCCCCACCCTCAATTTCCTTTACACTGAATCCTTTTTGCCATGAAGTTCCTTGCTTATGGGCCTTGTCACTGAAGGTCTTGTATTAACTTGTAACTATGAAGTCTGCAGCAATTCCAATAGTTGCATTCCCAAAGGTTGACAAACTCCTATTTCTGACCAAGAATATTTGTGGGATAGAAGGTATGGAAGTAATTCATAGACTATGCAAATCCTATCGTTTTGTGATTTTTCTCAAAGTCAGAAGGAGGCTGGCAGGATTAATCTATGACGTGCTCACCACTTTGCTGCCACTTGCTACTGGATCTCTATAGATTATGCTTTTTGCTTGTGTGCAATGACAATTGTTTTTTGGAGCAATGACAATAAATGAGGGAGCTTGTGAGGCAAACACTGTGGGACTGGGAGTTAAACGGTTCTGTCATCTCTGGCAGAATAACTGGGAAGCAAACCACTTTGAATATCCTGGCCCACAGGTGTGTTTGTCCTATTGCCCAAAGGACACAGGCAAATTTAGGATTCTGGGCCCCTGCTGGCCAGGGGCAAGGATTAAGGTATTTATCAAGAGCAAAGGCAAAGCAAAAAAGAAAAAGAAAAGACAGTCAACCCAGTGATCAAGAAATGAAGATGTGTAATACTTTTATAAAGCGCCTCCCAAATCTTTTATTTTTTGAATAGGAAGCCTGGTAGCAAGCTGGGGTCAGTTCGCTGGTCCCCCAGGCCTCCTGGGCTCACTGGAGCCTGCTTCTAGCCCTGGCAGGCGGTTGGGGCTGCGGGTCTGTAGGAAGGGTAGGGATGCTCCAGCCGACCGGCGGAAAAATACCAACAAAAGGCGAGGGCACACGCGAAAGCAACTGAGGCGAGGCAGGATTGCCCAGGGAATCCCAGTTTGGGGCGCAGAGCCAGGGCGCGGGAAGACCCAGAGCCCGCCCACTGTGCCCGCCCCCGGGCCGGGCCGCGCTCCCATTGGTGGTGACGTTGAGGTCCGCGGCCAGGAGGGGTGGGGGGCACTTTGGGGCGGAGGGCCGGGGCGCGCGGCTGATGAAACCTGGGGCACGATCCTGCCTGCCCTCCACGCTTCATTCTGTCGGCGCCGCCAGGTGTGAGCTGAGAGTCCACTGCCCGCCGGCGCGGCTGCCAGTCGTCATCCGTTAGCCACAGCCGCTCTCACTCCGCTCCCGCGCGCACTGCTTCCGGCCGCGCGTCCGTCTGCCAGGGCCGCGTGCGTTGGTCCATTCGCGGTCTTATCCTGATCCTGCCGGCCTCTGACTCGGTGAGTGCTGGGCCCCCGCCCTTGCCGGTACATCTCACGGGGTCGGGTCACCTTGGAGAGGACCCCAGCGCCGTGATGGGCCGTGGGAGGACGGTGCGGGGAGGGGCGAGGGTCCCGCCCCGGGGGGCACTTGGCATCCTCTGGGATGAAAAAAGATCCGGGCCGATCCGGGGGTGTGTGAGCGCGGGGCCGGTGCCCATGTGGTTTCTACTGGAGTCCATTTTGGTTCCCTAAGGCTCAGCTGAATGATGCAACACCGAGTGAGTAAACGTGGGAGACGAGGAGTCTCGGTGATGCCCGTCCAGTGCACCTTGCCAGGGACCCAGGCGCGGGGACGCACGGGGTGGTCGAGCTGGGCTGGGAGGCAGATGCTCGGGCAGGCCTAGGAGGCATCCGGAGACCTTCGCTTTCGTGGCGCGGTGCTGGGCACCCCACCCCGCCACGAGGTCTCCTTGTGACATAGACCTGGGCCGCTAGCGTAGTTCCGGAGCAGGTGGCGGGGCCTGGGACCCTGCGGTACCCCCCCGGACCCAGCCTTGGCGCCCACCTCCCCTTTTCTAGATCCCGGGATGAGCCCTGGCCCGCCCTGCACCTCTGATTATCAGGATTGTTTCGGGTTAGTTCCCTTCGGTGGGCTTCCTTGTGACCTAATATGGCCTGAAAAAACTTGAGTGCTTCAAGCCCCCGAAAGGCCTGGAGCAGGAGGAAGTTCTTTGGGCTTAATAAAGACAACTTACTTTCTGCCTGCTCCCTCCTTTCTTCCAGATGACAACTTCCCAGGCCTGCCGGTCAGTCGAGTCCTTCTGGCACCTGTGTGTACACAAACACAAACACAACACTGTCCTCTGTAGTACTACCAGAGCTGCCTTTTATTTTAGCTCCTTTCCCTTTTCATTGTGTATAAGAACCAGAGAGGAATTGATTTTGATATATCTGGTTAGGAAGCCAGGCATGGGTTTTCTGGAACACTACCTTTTTCAACATTCCAGATGGGACTCACATGGGTTATCTGGAACACTACCTTTTTCAACATTCCAGATGGGACTCTCCTGTGTAGGAATAACCAGGAGGTGGGTTAGATTTAGTTACAAGAGTAGAGGGTTGGGATTTCAGTCCAGGAGTATTGTTTTAAAATTTGACCAGCAGACCAGCAGTGAGCTGTATTTGCTCCCCTCTGGCTGGGTTTGCCAATTGTGTTTAATTTGAATTGTAGTTTATTTGTGATTTAACATTCTTGCCCTTTATGTTTAGTTCAGATAATAGAAACCCATGTACATTTATTCCCCTGACAATTTTAGTTGGTCTCAGTGGAAATTATCATTATTTTTATATGAGCACACCCTTCTGCCATTAAGACAAAAGGTCTTATTTTAAATCATACCATCAGGATAGAAATGTAGCCTACAAAGTATTAAAACAGTTTTTAGTGGTTTAGCATCATTCATCATAGATAATATAAAAGATGTCAAAGGAGTTTTGACTAAACCAATAGATATCAAAAATGCATTTAGTTTGACTATTTAAACCACATGGTAGTTTATATATAGTATATAGTTTATAATAGTTTATATGCTTTTATGCATATAATCATTTGCTGTAGAGGAAAAAAAAAGACTTGACAAGTTGCTGGCCTTGGGTAGCTTGAACTCTAAGAAAGTGTTAATTATATTTGGTAGAAAATCCTATTCTTTGATGGAATTAAATAGATGCTTATTGATCTAGTCTGTAGTTACTTTTTACTAAGTCCAGTGAAAATATGTAATTATGTTGAGGGTCCAGAATTAGATCTACTGGAGCTAATCTTTTCATTATTAACTATGTATTCAGAGTTATTGGTTTATTAGTCCTAGAATTAGTCCTGGAATTTGAAACAGTAATAAGTGCTTTGTGTTAGGGACATAAACGTTTTTCTCTAACCTTGGAGTTGTTTGGATGAGAGCTGTCTTACTACTTCCTTTGTACTTCCCAAAGTCAGGTAGGCCTGGAGGCCTAGGTAGTGTTCAGTGGCGGGAAAGGGCCTCTTCAGACCTGCGGCCTTCTGCCACTATCCAGTTCCAGTTGAGGACAGCTCCCATGGGCCTTGAGAACTTAGCTTTTACTTTGTGTGAGGTGGGGAATCACTGGAAGATTATTTTACTGAGCAGGAACGAGGTAACGGGTATGGGGGAATACTGACATTTCAAGGTTTATAACTAAGTCTGAAATAAAACCTAACTCCAAGCTATTTCGACATGAGAGTGAGACCTCACACAAAGTAAAAGCTAAGTTCTCGAGGTCTATGGGAGCTCCCTCAACTTGAACTGGACAGTGGCAGAGGGCCCCAGGTCTGAAGAGGCCCTTTTCTGCAGCTGAACACTATCTAGGCCTCGAGGCCTACCTGGGATGGGTGACATTGGGAGGAGGTGGTCAGACAGCTCTCACCCAAACAACTCCAGAGGTAGAGAAAAATGTTTAGTGTGACATAGGTAATTCCTGTGGCAGCTTGGATGGTTTGCAAATGGTAGAAATGTGAGGTGGTTGAATTCTCCATCTGTAGGCTTGTGTAATTGTTCCAGCTGTACATTCGAAAAGTAGACTCAGCAAGATTGGCCAGGGGATTCCATGTGGGGTATGCCAAGAAGAGATGTGATTCTAAGAAGGATGGAACTGTGACATTAAAGAGATGGAGGAAGGCTGAGGAAACAGCATATGGCTAATGACTTTTAAAAGTCACAGTTGATTTTTTTTAGATTCGTCCATCAAGGGACAGAACCCAACTGGGCCTCTCCTATCCTGTCAACTAGCTTTCTTATATTCTCACTCCTAAGCAGGGTATTTCTTCTTGCCTATGGCTTCCCTGGGTCTCTGTTGCCTCTCCTGTGGAGATCTTGGTCTGGGTTTGTCTTGTTGCCAGGATGAGGACTTACCTATCCCTTGCGGTCCTCAAGTCATGGGCGTACCTGCTTTTTCTTCCTGATCCATTTTTTTTTTTAAAGATTTATTTATTCCTACAGACCTGGGATACAGGTCAGAGATGCAGAGGGTGAGAGGATTCACCAGAGACAGAGTGGGGAGCAGAACAGGCAGATCCACGAGGTACACTGCTGAGGGGAGCAGCGGGCGGGTCAGGAGAGGTCTGCCTCGCCATGTCGATCTCCTCCGGGGCAGGCGGGAATCGAACTCATGAGGAAGTGGTTTAAGCTTCTTTGTGTTGTGCTTTAACCCACTGCGCCACCAGGGAGGGCCCCTTCCCTGATCCTTAAGGACACCTTGTTATCCAGAGGTTTCTTGGACCTTAGGCTCTTGGCATTGGATTCCTGGCCAACGTTTTATTCACCCCAAGGTTTGAGGTTTCTTCCAGCCAAAGAATAGAGTGGCTGCTCCTTTCACGGGAGATGTTCAGCTTTGTGGTAAACTTTAAGGGCTTTTCTTTCTATATAATCGCCTGCCACCCCCACCCCCTGACACACACATACCCCGTAAAACCCCTCGATTCCAAAGTAACTTTGAAAACAATTTCCTTTGCAGTTGCTTAAAGTGAGTCTTAATTTGCCATGGGATGTTTAGTGCCCTCTGTGAGTCCATTAGGGGGGTGGGCAGCAGGTTGGCTGACTGACCTGGTGGGCTGTTACTTAAGTTCATTTTACCCCGGAGACATGCCTTCTGCTTGGTGTCACTGGCTGAGCTGTGGCTGAACCTGTGGGTTGCATTCATCTGTTCCCAAAACCCAGGCCCCAGGAAAGATGTTTCTGGATATTGGAATAGTTCTGGTGTAAGGCTTACCTACCCGATGACCCCGTCTTTCATTTTCATTTGGCTTTGCCTTCATTTTATTGTTAGCAGTGGGGATGGCCAGATGGCACGTTCAGTGGCAAACTGCACACATTAGTCAGAGCTCCATGGTAAGGGAAGAGGCCTTGGCAGCTTCAGTGTCTTGAGAGACTTCTCTGAAAGGAAGGATGCTCTCTGAGGGAGGGGGCAGGTTCAACTAGTGCCTGGAACCACCGGTGGCTGCTGGAGTCCTGGTGGCCTCTCCCTGTGTGTGTGGCCTCTCTACTGAACCTTGTAGACTGGCTTCTTGTGCATGGGGAAGCCTTCTCTCTTGGCCTCCGAATGGTAAAGCGAACAAACATGAAGTTCATAGTGTTGTTTGGAAGAATTAAGGTAACAAGGCAATACATTTGAGTTTCTTTCTTGAAGTAAGTTCTTTTTGTTGCCTGCCTAATATTCTGATCATTGCAGCTTGAAAGCAAACTCAGGGCCAGCATAAAGACTGCTGTGAGTGGATTTACGTGGAGGACTGCTACACATTGTCTCTCCCTTTTTCCCGGATGAATTGTCAATTTTCCCCCCTCCCTTTTCTGGAGGCATGGAGGGCCTGGTGGGTTTGTTTCCTAAACGCTTGTGTTCCTGCTACCGCGCTTTTTCAGAATATTTGTTCAGGTGCGGTGCTTGACTGGGAGCAACCGCATATTGACCTACACTGTCCCTGTGTGCTCCGTGCAGCGTAGCGACCTCCTGGCTCTGGACAGCAGGGTCTGTGTGGCTTCTGTCCACGTGACTCCCGAGCTCCTCACAGACTAAGAAGTGTGGGGTCAGAGGAGATGTGTGGGCTCCACGGATAGGTTCAGGGTCCATTTTTGGGGTCCCTCAGAGCCACCTTTAAATCTGATTTCAGGAATGGCTTTTCCATATTGTTTGCATAATACCTGAGTTTTAGTGCTTACCTTCTAGGATCGAGAGGGCTTACATGAGGCAGTCCTAGTTACCACGGCTTCTAACTCACATATACTAAGGGGCTGAATGTAAACGTTAACTGTCACACGGAAATAAAAACTTAGTTCTTTGATTCAGGTGTGGAGGCACAGATTTTTTTCAATGACTTTATTTTACCACCGGTTTTGCCAAGACATTAAAATGTAGTCCCCTTTCCTTGGAATTGCGTCTGCATAGCAGGGGGGCTGTGGGGATCTGTTGGGGAGGGTATTGGGGCTCTGAGGCATCTGCTGACTTGGGCCAGT